CTGCAGTGTTAACATCTCTAAAGGTAACTTCTCCTTTATAAATCCAATAAGCAGGGTCAGTATTCAGTTACTGGAAGCAGAGGCTGGTGCCTTGCAGCCAGATCTGGGTTTGAATCCTGGCTTCACGCCTCACTTCCGGTGTGGCCTTGGGCAGGCCAGCCTTCCCGAGCCCTAGTTTCCTCCTATATAAAACAGCGGTAATGATACCTATTTCTGCGTTGTTGTGAGAGTTAAGGAAATTAAATAAGTAGTTTTGCTCGTTACACAGTGAACTCTCCTTGGGATTTTTTTAAAGTAGAAACCGACTTTGACATTATGTGTGGCGTGAAACAGACAACATCTTCACTTGAGGAAAACATCTTGGACCTAAACTTCACCTTCCTACAGATCCACAGTTTGGAAATACTGTACCTATTCTTGTCTCTCTCTTTTTTTTTTGAGGCAGGGTGTCGCTCTGTCACTCAGCCTGCAGCTCAGTGTCACGATAATGGCTCACAGCAGCTTCAACCTGCTGGGCTCAGGCGATCCTCCGACCTAAGCCACCTGAGTAGCTCGGACTAGAGGCACACACAACCACACTCAGCTAATTAAAAAAAATTTTTTTTGTAGAGACAAGGTCTTACTATGTTGCCCAGGCTGGTCTCAAACTCCTGGGCTCAAGCGATCCTCCCACATTGGCCTCCCAAAGTGCTGGGATTACAGGCATGAGCCCTTGTGCCCAGCCTTACTCCTGTCTCTTTAAAACGACAAAAACACAAGAATCAACCAACCACTCATTCAACTGTTTGTGTAAGGTGCTGCAGTCACGGCTTCTGATTTTGGAATTTGTCAGATGATAGACCATGAAGAGATGAGCAACCAGCGAACAGACAAATGACAAGGGAGGACTGCAAATATAGAAACAGATAAGCCACGGGCTGTGGCGTGGGGGCATTTGTTAGTTATGAATAAGAGACTGCTGGGTGTCATATTTAGCCAGCATGGGGCTGGTAAGTAAGCCTTCTGTCTGGATCAGTCAAGGATTCATCTTTGCTTTCCTCTCTTGAATGGCCCTGTCAAAACAGAACTTCAGGGCCCTAAGTGGCTCCCTGCCTATAATCCCAGCATTCTGGGAGGCCAATGCCACTGAATCACATGAAGTCAAAAGTTGGGGACTGGCCGGACCAACATGGTACAACCCTGTCCCTACTAAAAATACAAAAATTAGCTGGACATGGTGGTGCATGCCTGTAATCCCAGCTACTCAGGAGGCTGAGGCTGGAGAGTCACTTGAACCCAGGAGGCAGGGCTGAGATTGCACCATTGCACTCCAGTTTGGGCAACAGAGCGAGACTCTATCTCAACGACAAGAACAACAAAAACTTCAGCTGACCTTAAGTCAAGGGTCTTGTCAAAAATACTCAAGAGCCAGCTTTCAGTGGTTCCCACTGGCCAATTATGAGACAATGTAAGCATCGGGGATATAAAGTATATTAAATATGTTTAAATCCTCGAGTTTGTAATAGCACTTTAAAAATACTGATTGCCCAGCCTGGGCAACATAGCAACAACTTGTCTCTACAACAAATAAAAAAGGCAGGTGTGGTGGTCCTAGCTTCTTGATGGGGTACACTGAGGTGGGAGGATCACTTGAGCCCAGGAGTCTGAGGCTGCAGTCGGCTATGACTGTACCATTGCACTCTAGCCTGGGTGTCTGAGTGAGACCTATCTCCAAAATATAGATATAGATATATCTCTCTTTATATATTGATCAAAATGATCAATATATATAAAGCTCCTGAGTAGCTGGGACTACAGGTGCATGCCATCATGCCTGGCTAATTTTTCAAAATGATGTATTTTGATCAATATATACATTATTTTGAAAATTTATGAATAAAGAAAAGGAAACAAATATTTGTCCTGCCTTTCTGACAGGAACGATACCAAATAAAATGGTAGACGAAAGGAAATTTTTTTTCTTTATAGCAAATTTTCAGCTGATAAATGAAGGAATGAAAGAATTAGTTTTATTTATTTATTTATTTATTTATATTTTTTTGAGATAGATTCTCACTCTGCTACCAATTCTGGAGTGCAGAGGCACGATCTCGGCTCACTGCATCCTCTGCCTCCCAAGCAATTCTCCTGCCCCAGCCTCCCAAGTAGCTGGGATTACAAGTGCCCACCACCACACACAGCTAATTTTTGTATTTTTAGTAGAGAAGGAGTTTGCCACGTTGGCCAGGCTGGTCTTGAACTCCTGACCTCAGGTGATTCGCCTGCCTCAGCCTCCCAAAGTGTTGGGATAACAGGTGTAAGTCACCGCTCCCAGCCAGAATGTCAGAATTACAATATCACTATTTTCTAATTGTTAATGAATGAATAAATCTAGAGATTAATCGTCAGTGGCTACTAACGTCATGAAAAAGATAGTTTCTCGTCAATTTTGTGCCTCCCGATAGAACAACACAATGAAATGAACGCCTGTGCCAGCAAAAAAACTGAACTGGATACAAGTGAACCAGATCCAACTACCAATTTCTAGGAAATGGAACTGAGGAACATGTCAAATGATACAGATTATGAGAAATTCTACAGAATAAAGTGCCCAATTACTAAAACAAATGAATTATAATTAAAGAAAAATGGAGAAAGCCAAAGAGACTTTATGAGACATACTACCCAGTTGCAAGGTGTGGGTTCAAACAAACTGTAAAAAATCTTATTAAAATATTGATAATTGCCAACTTGAACACTAGTGAGATATTTGATGATCTTTAGGAATTATTAACATTTTAATTTTAATCTTTCAAGGTGGAGTCTCGCTCTATTGCCCAGGCTGGAGTGCAGCAGAGATCTTAGTTCACCGCCACCTCTGCCTCCCAGGTTCAAGTGATTCTTTTGCCTCAGCCTCCTGAGTAGCTGGGACTACAGGTGCATGCCATCATGCCTGGCTAATTTTTTTAATTTTTAGTAGAGATCGGATTTCACCATGTTGGCCAGGCTCGTCTTGAAATCCTGACCTCAAGTGATCCACCCGCCTTGGCCTCCCAAAGTGCTGGGATTACAGGCGTGAGCCATTGTGCCTGGCTTATTGTTAACTTTTCAGATATGCTAATGGTATCATGGATAAGTGTGTAAGCAATCAAGTTTTTATTTTTTAGGGAGACAAATGGAACTATGCATCATTTAGATGAATTGTACAAAATCTAGAATTTGCTTTAAAATAATAGGAGAGGGGATGGAGAGGGATGGGTTGAGGTCTTCATAAAGCAAGATTAGCCATGAGCTAATAATTGTTGAAAGTGGTCCATGGGCTCATGAGAGTTTAATATTTTCCGTAACAGAAAAGTTTAAAAAGCTGGGAGTGGTAGCTCACTCCTGTAATTCCAGCACTTTGGAAGGCCGAGGTGGGCGGATCAAGAAGTCAAGAGATAGAGACCATCCTGGCCAGCATGGCGAAACCCCGTCTCTCCTAAAAATACAAAAATTAGCTGGGCATGGTGGCCCACACCTGTAGTCCCAGCTACTCGGGAAGCTGAGGCAGGGGAATCGCTTGAACCCAGGAGGCGGAGGTTGCAGTGAGCACCATTGCACTCCAGAGGGATACTTGGTCTAAAAAAAAAAAAGTTTAAAAACATTCATTGGCCAATCTATCTGTCCATTTCTTTTAATGTTAAAAACATTAATTATTAGCAATATATTAACATGAAGTCTCACTTTCTTGATTCACCCAGTCCGTTTCATGGGAGACGGGGCACTTTGTCTTGGCTGTTAGAAAACCTAGATTCTAATCCATTCAGCAGCCTAGTGACTTGGGAACTTCAGTCCTCTGAGTCTCCCTGTACTCCGTTGGAAAATGAGAGATGGGGATGATTTCTACCATCCTGCCCGAAAGCTGACAGTTGCAGTGACTAAGAGATTTGGGTCCTGCGGTCTGACTGTCTAGGTTGGAATCGAGCTTCCCCCTAGGTATAACTTCGGGTAAATTTACTTCATCCCTCAGGGCTTCATCTTCCCGTTTTGTAAAATGTAAGTAACAACAGCGCTGCCCACAAAGGGTTGTTGTGAAGATTACATGAACGATTTCAGGCGTTCATTCCACCAACACTGAACACCTGCTCTCCAGCTCTGGGAGGGGAATGTGGTGGAGTGGCAAAGAAAATATCGGGGCCGAGCTGTTTAGAGTCTAAAGGGAGAGCCCAGATCACATACGCTAAACACTAAATAAGTATTTCAAAATAGCTAGAACTGAGACGAAAATACAACGCAGCAATTTGATGGACAGCAACTTCGAGAAAGGTGAGCTGCAACATTAACCAGGCTGATCTGGGACAGTCTGGCAGAGGTGACATCTGAACCCCACCTGACTTAGAGGACGTCAGCTATGGATCCGGGTTTCCATGTGCAGCAGCGGTTCTCAACCCAGGTGACTGCAGCCCTCTAAACCTCCCTCCACTTTTGTCAGCGTCCGGGGATGTCTGGTTGCCACCACTGCGGATTGCTGGGTTTGTTCCCGTATCTAGTGGGTATAGGCTAGGAACACCGCCCGGTATCCTACAGTGCACAGGACACCCCAACCCCCCAAATTAGCCGGTCCATAGATGAAGAGAGAAGAGCAGGGGCAAGGGTCCTGCAGCATTCAGAAAGGAGCTTGCTGTGTTCGGAAAACTCAAAATCCAGTGTGGCTGAGTGAGGATGGTGAAGAATGAGGTGGACGGGGCTAAACTACGGAGCACTTTTCAGGGCATGGTGAGGAATTTGGAATTATCCCCAAAGCAGTGGGAAGCCCTTGGAGAATTTTAAACAGAAGGGGAAGGTAACCCATGTGAAACGCTTTGCATATATAAGCGCTCAGTAAATAGTGTCTATTATTAATATTATTATCACTTGTGTCTTCCCTACTTTGCTCCAGACCCGGCCCTTGCCTCAGCGCGGCCGCAGTGACTCCTCCTGTCCAGCAGAGGGCGCCAGCCGACACTTGGCCACCGGCCGCCCGGGGCGGGCCTCCTCTTGCCGTCCCCTTCCTCGTCTTTTCCCCTCAGGAGAAGTCGGGAAGGTGGCGGCGGTGGCGGTTGTCCCGGCTGGGCTGGTTGGTGTGGCTCGTCAGCCCGCGCACCGCAGCGCCTGCGCCGCGTCGAGCCCAGTAGAGCCGAGCCGCGGCGGCCGGGTCCGGCGCGGGCGGCGTGCGCTGACGGAGGGCGGCGGCCGCGGCCAGGGCGGCCCGTGGGACCGCGGGCCCCCGGCGCAGCGCCGCCCGGCTCCCGGCCCTGCCGGCCTCCTCCCTCGGCACCGCGGCCATGGCGGCCAGCGCGAAACGGAAGCAGGAGGAGAAGCACCTGAAGATGCTGCGGGACATGACCGGCCTCCCGCACAACCGAAAGTGCTTCGACTGCGACCAGCGCGGCCCCACCTATGTGAACATGACGGTCGGCTCCTTCGTGTGTACCTCCTGCTCCGGCAGCCTGTGAGTGCGGGGCGGCCGGGCGGGTGTCGGGCCCTTCCCAGGAGGTGGGGGAGCGGGCGGCAGGGCCGGGATCCTGCCAGGGCCGGGGAAGCACGGGGCGGCGTGGGAGGAGGTCGGGGGCGGCCGTTGGGCGCCGGCGGGCGGGCGCGGCGTGGGAGGCTGCGGGCTGGATGCTCCGGGCCAGGGCAGCCGAGCTAGGATGCGCTTTCGGTTTTGCCGGGTGAGGGTTGACGCTCTGGGCAGCCTTCGTGGGTGGGACGTGGGCGGGGTTGGGGTCAGGGAGGGGGCGGCCGGGGCGAGCCTCCCGGGTCTCCGCGGAGCCTGCGGCCGCCGCCCTCACTCCCCAGCTCCCCGGGGCGCCGGGCTGTGGAGGGAAGACGCTGGGAGGCCGGGGAGGTCCGTGCGGGTCCTTTGTGTGCCCCGCCTCTCAGCGGCCCGGGCGCGGCGGTGCGGAGAGAGGCACCTGCCGGGCGCCGGCGCAGGGGGTCGGAGAAGCGGGGGTGGGAGGAGCAGGGACGCCTCGCCGGTGCCTTTTTTCCTGGATCGAGGGTATCTAGGTAACTGGAAGAAAGCAGACACTTCGGAATAGTAGCAGGATGAAAACATCTTCATGGCAGATATCTGAAGCCCCAGGGAAAAGTTCGAAAGGATTAATTGCGAGAGAAGGAGGCAGAAGAGCAGATTTGAAGTCGTGGGGTTTTACTTTTATGGTCCAAAGAGAGTGTTGAGGAGTTTGGGGAAACTTTTAATGGCAATAAAGTACAGACTAGGAGCTGTATCATTCTAAATATGATGGAGGTATCTGTGAGACTTATCTGTATCTGTTTTCAATACCCAAGTGCCCTGGCTATACATAGAAATGAGGAGATCTAGCTAGTCAGCATGTTTTCAGAAAGACACTACCGTCCTGAGTTACTGGGATGATTCGTGTTTGTTCTTCTTTGCTTCATTAAGCTTTATTTTGATAAAGATTTTTATTGCCGTACAATTTCATTTGGAAAATTTGCAGGTAGTTTCAGAATTGATAAAATGCCTTTATGTTACTGATTATCTTGTATTCAAAGTTGCAACGTGGCAGTTGCTAAGTATTCTTAAAACCTTTGCTTGTAAGATTAATACTCAGACAAAGCATATAATACTTTATGTGGGAACACTGATTTCTTAGAAAATGCAGAACATGCCCAGTCATATACTGTTTGCTTTCTAAAGTTGGGCAAAGAGGCATTATTAGTATTACATGAGTATTACTTCTTCAGCGGACATTTTTTGGGTGCTTATTAGGTTGTGTAAAGCCCTGGGGTGTGCTAATATAGCTAAGTTTTGTTCTCTTGGTTCTTACAGTCTAGTGGGGATGCATAAGTAAGAAAAAGAGTCATAGGCAAATACTGTGCTGAGCATTTAAATTGTTTGAAAGGAGAGACTTCACGGTTACTTTTAGGCTGTGTAATCAGGCAGACACTCTGGGAAGTTGCCAGTTAGTGATATTCTTGAATTGCTACAGAATCACAGAGCTAGGTGATATCAAAGATGTAGTCTGGTTCGTGCATTTCGTTTACAGAAAAAGAAGTAAAGCTAGAAAGTTGTTACTTAGGTTGGACAACGTTGGAGACAATAGAACAGTTTTAATTGTATTTGATTTTTATTACATGCTTAAGAGGTATGTCCTGCTTTTATGAAACACAGGTCCTTTAATGCATTTAAAGTATTTGGTGTGAAAAAAATACGTATATCTACAGCTCTGGATTTCTGACATTTCTGTGTAGTCCTTGTAAGTACAGCAGCAAATATGTAATATCATGGAAATATTTTCCAATTTCTTCCTAGATACCACATTTCAACATTTTATATAAAAGGATATCTCAGTATAATGATAGTTGTCTATCTTAATGAAATTTAATCTGTAGCCGATAGGACTTCATTTCTCTATTGAGTTCCTCAAATATTTATTGGCCACTTGTCCTGTGTCATATACTGTGGGAGGCACTGGAGTACCTGGATCTTAACTGTACTAGGGAGCGTGCTTTCTAAGTATGTAAACACATGGTACTAGGTACACATGGCTTTGAATTCTGTCTCCAAGTATTATGCGGTATTTAGAATGCCACTCAATCTATTTGAGCTTGAGTTTTCTCATATATGAAACAGTGAGGATAAGATTTCCCTTGTAGGCTTTGGATGTAGATTTCTTTTCATTATTAAAAATAATGTATAATAAGTGCCCCATAGATGAGAAGCATCAAGGGAGAAGACATTCCATGAGTAAGGGAACAGTACTGTATGTGAAAGATAGTAAATGAGAAATATCCTCATAAAAATCTATCATTTTGGATTTTATGGTTGTAACTCAAAACCGGAATCAAATTGGTTTAAAAATACGAAGGGTTTATCGATTAATTTTAAGGTAAAGCTATCCAGTGGTTTAATAATAATGCGTAGATTTTCCTCATTCAAGTATGGTAGTCCCCAGCTCCTGGGGCATACTGCCTTAATTATGTCATTGGTCCAGCACTTCCAGGAGTTCTGCATTTCTTTCTGATTGGGTTAGCTTAAATCATGTTACAGCTGGACACATGTTCTACTTTATTGTCACAAGGATTCCCAAATAGATTTCTCAAATCTGAACTCTAGAATTCTTGGGATGTAGGGAATGAAGACTGAAATGGCAGCCATCAAATGTGTACAGTAGAACACTCAAGAGACAACAGCTGCTGAAGATTTTTTTCTTTGACAAGCACTAATGCAGGAACATAATTTAGGAAGAATAATATAACTTGGGTTTAATAATTATGTATTTGCTGTTTAGATGACATGGTATAATTGAAAGAATGTGAATTTTGAAGTCAGATTTTGACAATGCTACTAGCTTCATGACTTAGGGCAAGGCATTAAGCTAGGCCATTATGTGCAGGTTGGCCTAGACCCATCCTCTTAGCCTCAGTTTCTTTATTTGTGATAAGAAGATAACATATAGCTCAGGTTTGTTAAGAGGATTAAATGATACTTATTGAGCACCTACTGTATTTGAGGATAGGGCTAATCAGTGGAGTTAGAGATACTGAAATAAGGCATGCTAACTGCCATTCCTTGATTTACCTGGAAAATATGAATCATAGCAAATAGTATCCACTGTCATGAATTCTAAATTTTAGGATAGTGGCATCCCTTCTATCATTTATAGTAATATCTTTTTAAAAAGTAAATTGAACTAGTATCTTATTGTTAATGTTACCAGGCTTGGAGCTAATCTTTCCTGTTTCTTTTTTTCCAGATGACTCTCCTGTATGCTTGAATGATGTTCTTTCAGAGTGTATAACTGAATTTAGATTGTGAACCTTTAGAATAGAGCAGGGATTTATACTCATAATTCCTTTTTAAGATACTTTGATGTGGCCACATTCCATTAGGTATTTTGATAATGTAATGTTTCAATTTAGAGTAAGTGGCCAAAATATTTGATACTTTTTCTTTTTTTTTTTTTTTTTTGAGAGGAGAGTCTCACTCTGTTGCCCAGGCTGGAGCACAGTGTGCGATCTTGGCCTACTGCAACCTCTGTCTCCCAGGTTCAAGCCATTCTCCTGCCTCAGCTTCTCAAGTAGCTGGGATTACAGGTGCCCACCACCATGCCCACCTAGTTTTGGTATTTTTAGTAGAGATGGGGTTTTGCCATGTTGGTTGGCCAGGCTGGTCTTGAATTCCTGATCTCAGGTGATGCATCACCTTGGCCTCCCAAAGTACTGGAATTACAGGCGTGAGCAACCTTGCCTGGCCTTGATACTTTTTCAGTCGTGAAGGACACATTTTTAATTTTAAGCAAATGTTTATTAAGTGCCAGTTACCAGCTGATGTGCTAGAGATATAACAGTTAAAGTATTTATTGAAAAAAATAAAAACTGTTTGAATGCTAGCTGTGTGACAGACATTCTAGTAACAGTCATATGAGGAAGGTGCTATTATCCAAACTGAGCTTTAAGTTGTAAAATTAGTACTCACTCTTAGTGTTTTGCTGTTATAACCTGCTAGAAGTTGGGATCTGGAACTTTGCTGATTCCACCACCAGAGAATGTATGGTTACCATGGTTATTGTAAATTGTTGTGAATTCTATATTTTGGAAATTTAAATGGTAGATTCTACTTCATTGTGTTTTAAATAGCAGAATAGACTTTTTTTTTTTTGAGATGGAATTTCATTCTTGTGGTCCAGGCTGGAGTGCAGTGGTGCGATCTCAGCTCACTGCAACCTTTACCTCTCAGATTCAAGTGATTCTTTTGCCTCAGCCTCCCAAATAGCTGGGATTACAGGCATGCACCACAATGCCCGGCTATTTTTTTTTTTTTTTGTATTTTTAGTAGAGACGGGGTTTCACCATGTTGGCTAGGCTGGTCTCAAACTTCTGACCTCAGGTGATCCACCTCCCTTGCCCTCTGAAAGTGAGCCCCCATGCCCCACCCAGAATAGATATTTTATGATGCATCATAAATGTTTGTTTTATGGCTTTGCCATGCCTTTTATTATTTTTGAGGAACTTCTTAACTCCAAAATGTGTGTTCTTATTTTTGAGTTTTATTGAGAAGATTTGGTGGGAAGATGGTGGCATTCCATCAGCAATTCTTTTGAATTTGTCACATCCATACTACCATGTGCCGTTAATTTTCTTGCTATTTTTTATATTTGAACTCTAATTAGATGCTCTCATTCTATGCACTCAGGATTGATAGCAGATAAGTTAATTAAAAAAATTCAGTTAAAGCAAGCAATCAGTAAAAAAGAGAAAAAATATATACATACACACATACATATACATGTATCTATTATATGTAGATATATATATATATTTAGCACATGTAGTTTTTTTTTTTCGTTTGGGTTTTGTAACAGGCTCTCTATTGCACAGGCTGGAGTGCAGTGGCAATATCGTGGTTCACTGCACCCTTGACCTTCCTGGGCTCAGGTGATCCTCCGACTCAGCTTCCCAGGTACCTGGGAATATAGGTGCGTGTAC